GTCGTTTGACGGGACTATTAAAGACGCTCCAGTCCAAGTAAAAAAAAAAGAAAGGAAACACACACACACACACACACACACACACACACACACACACACACACACACACACACACACAGACACACGCACCCCCCCCACACACACACAAAGGGAATTAAAACCTCCCACTAATGCAAAAGAGTATCAGAAGGAAAAAGCAGATGACATGGCGGGACGAAAATTGGAATCAATGAACAAAAAGAAGCAACCAACAGGTGGTAAGGTCTGACAGGCTGAAGACATTTTATTACAGTCCAGCATTCACAACAGGTAAGAAAATTGGCTTTTTCGGTGGTTATCTATCTATCTATCTATCTATCTATCTATCTATCTATCTATCTATCACAGTCTTTTCATATCTATCTCAGTCTGTTCATTATCTATCTATCTATCTATCTATCTATCTATCTATCTATCTAAGTCTATTCATATCTATCTCAATCAGTTCATATCTATCTATCACAGCCTATTCATATCTATCTATCTATCTATCTATCTAATATTTTATCGATAGATGTTCCACAAATATGCACCCATTTTCAAAATTGCGTAACTTCGTAAAAATAGAAATATAATGTGCACCTATTAAGGTTAATGAAACCATGAATATGTGCTTACTGAAGTTTATATCATTTTACAGATTTTAGTGAGTTCGAAACAATATGCAAAGTCACTCATTCACCTTTAAATTAACACCTTTCGCTGCTGTAGACGTACTTATATGTCTTTGCGAAAGTTTCATTGTCTGCGGTTGACGTATATATACGTTTTCGTGCCGCCGTGAAATATCGCTCCCAAGCGATCGTGGTATGAACTAATTAACGCTTAGTATCATTTTCAAACTAGCTTAGGAAGATTGTAGTGTACAGTTTGAAGGCACAGCATAGATGTTCAGATTGAGGAATCGGAGAGCAGAGTTCGAATTCCAGCCGAGTTTATTAAATTCACTTACGTGCTAATACCCTTGGGAAAGGTATGATTCCATATCTTCTCCCCCAGCTATGGATAAAATAGTAAAACAGACTGGGTTCTATAGCTCTGGGTGGCAACCGGTCAAATAGAAGGGCAAGTCTGAATTCAAAACCTGAGGACCTAGTGTATGGAGAGAGAGCGATCCACAACATATTCCGTGATCTTCGTGTCAAGAATTTGGAGAGAAGATGAGCGCCGCCACGCTATCTGAAAGGTTCAAGAGGAAGAATAAACAAAATCTGTTTCTTCTGCCCTCAGACCCCCCACCACCAGAGATTGAAGCAGTCGAGACACTGATGATGTGTGTACAATACAAGGCCCGGGAGCTACTCAAGCTAGAGGCTTACAGAGTAAGAGGCATAGTTTATGTGGATATGTGGGGAAAATAACGGTTGACCCTAGTCTTGAACAGGTTGAGATTATAGCGATCGAGGAAGCACCCTGTTGGTCATTGGTTCTACAGAGAAGCCATTCGTGGGAAGAAGCTGTTCGAGAGGAAGTTACATCTCACTAATGGAATACGAACAGAATGAGAGTAGTTCGCTGCAATACGCGTTGCATGGCGTGTCTTAACCGTGAAGCTTCGAACAGGTGGAACTAAGGAATGTGGTTCGCCTGAGCACTTTCCATGAAAAAAGCGATTGAGCAGCGAGAGGCTTGCGACTTTTTGTCTATGGGGAAAGTTGTTGTAGGGTGGAAAATAATTTGTCACCCAAAAAGATGCGGAGATGCTTTTTGGACTCTATCCAGATTTGAAAATGAAGATTGGGCAATTCGTTGCCATGTAGGGTTTGGCTTGTTTTGTTTTACGGTATATCAACCTCAATGGGTCATTAATGCCGACAACTTTTTTTTCTTGGTAATATTTTTGCTTTGTCAATCTATTTCTGTTAATATTTTTTTCCTCAAAAACGTATAGCTGGTAATATTATTTTTCCAAAAACGTATAGCTTGTAATATTATTTTTTTTCTAAAACGTACAGCTGGCAACATTAGTTTTTCAAAAACGTATTATCAGAGGCCTTGCTGTTGGACATAGTTTATCGTCTTACCCAGGACGTGGATGTAGTTTATCGTCATACCCAGGACGCGGATGTAGTTTATAGTCATACTCAGGACGCGGATGTAATTTATAGTCATACCCAGGACACTGATGTAATTTATAGTCATACCCAGGACGCGGATGTAGTTTATAGTCATACCCAGGACACTGATGTAATTTATAGTCATACCCAGGACGCGGATGTAATTTATAGTCATACCCAGGACACTGATGTAATTCATAGTCATACCCAGGACGCGGATGTAGTTTATAGTCATACCCAGGACGCGGATGTAATTTATAGTCATACCCAGGACACTGATGTAATTTATAGTCATACCCAGGACGCGGATGTAGTTTATAGTCATACCCAGGACGCGGATGTAATTTATAGTCATACCTAGGACGCGGATGTAGTTTATCGTCATACCCAGGACGCGTTCCCATGTATGGCAGCAGTATTATTTAATATAGTTTGTAATGCTAAGTAAATAACGGTAGCTCTGAAAAACTGCGTTTGTGCCTTCATAGTCATTTCTTTCCAGTAAATAGTCATTTTACTTTTTTCTAAAACGATCTAACACTGCCAGATAATAACGGAAATATTAGAGGCAATATTAACTGTTTTTTTTTTAAATAAGGGAACATTTGGCATTCCTTGACCGAGCAGCCAGTGCTTCTCGAGTTACTCTTTTCTTTACTCCCTGGCCATCGAACTGGGATCAAAGTGTAGTATCTGTTCTCTTAATCTCAAATGGTAATGATAATAATAGGCCGTTCCTTATAAGTAAGCATTCAATATTCATTGGACGAAATAAAGGGTTCGATTCGAAATTCAAATTACCCGAAGAAGGCCGGAGCGTATAACGGCCGAAACGTTGTGAATATGCCAACAAAGATGAAGACAACAGGTTGATTGCTTTATTTATGATTTATCAATCCTTTGAATGTCATTTAAAGCCAGAAAATATTTATAGATTGTAAAAATTGGGGGTGGGTGGGTAGAGATAATACTGGTTTAATGATACAAGTCTTACTAATTAACCCATAGGTGGGGGACGAAGAGGTAGATTCATGCCTTTCCATAACGATCCAAACGGGAATTGGAACTCGGCTCTTCGATTAACAATTCCGAGCCATTATCCATGACACCACCCACAAATCCAAGCTTGCAACGCATGGTACTCCCAAGCAGTCACCCACGTACAGGCCAGACTCAACATTGCTTAACTTCGGTGATCATATGGGAATCTATGTTTTAATATGAAATTGGCCGTGAAAATCTCAGCTTAAGACAAATATAACCCACTCACTAAGAAGAACTTTGTACACGTAATGCTATTGATGTTACGGGAGTTAGAAAAACAAATCATGAAATGTAGTCATAAAGACACACCACTACTTGCCTCAGGTCTTCCCGAAGACTTGGTAAGTAGTGTGACCATAGCAGATATTGAAATATAATAATAATAATAATAATAATAATAATAATAATAATAATAATAATCAACTTCTACGGGAAGAAAACTGAAAGAAACTGGTATGAACACCACCCAGACCCGGTTACGGAGATAGGACCTGTTACAATTCTATGGGACTACACAATACACACTGACAGAACAATCAAGACCAACCGCCCCGATATTGTTATTAAAGACCACAAACAAAAACGGTGCCTACTTATTGATATGGCAGTCCCTGCTGACTGCAATGTATCTTTGAAGATATTCAAAAAGTTGTCAAAGTACAAGGACCTTGAAATAGAAATCTCGAAAATGTGGCATATAGGAAGATCAACAATCCCTATTGTAGTTGGAGCCTTAGGACTGGTTGGAAAAGATTGCAGTAGACTAATTGAAGGGATTCCTGGAAGTCCATGCCTCAAGGAGATACAAAAAATTGTTCTGACAAGTACAGCCCACACCTTACGAAGGGCTTTATCTATGTAATTTTTTTTTTTTTTTTTGTCAGTGGAAAGTGTCATGACGCCATTTCTAACCTTAGGTCCCTGGGCGGGACCCGGAAAGAAATGTGTAAACGCCAGAAATCAAAGAAAATAAAATAATAATAATAATAATAATAATAATAATGCAAATAGACCAGACAAGGAACCTTCTAGCATATGAATTGCCCACAAAATTCCAATGTTTCAAAAAAAGAATTTCAAAAACTGTCAAATTGTAAGGACCTGCAAATCAAATTAACAAAAATATGGAAACTGAAAACTACAATTGTCTTTTTCACGGTTTATCAATCCTTTGAATGTCATTTAAAGCCAGAAAATATTTATAGATTATAAGAATTTGAGGGGGTGCAGATAATACTAGTTTAATGATACAAATCTTACTAATTAACCCATAGCTGGGGGAAGAAGAGGTTGACTCATGCCTTCCCAGAGGGTATTTGTGTACAACTGAATATAACGAACCCAACGGGAATTGAAACTCGGCTCTCCAATTAATAATTCCGAGTCATTATCCATTATACTACCCGCACATCCAAGATTACAGCACCAGGTATTCCCAAGCGGTCACCCATCTAGGTACTGACCAGGCTCGACGTTGCTTAACTTCGGTCATCGTACGGTAAATCGGCTCTCCAATTAATAATTCCGAGTCATTATCCATTACACCACCTGCACATCCAAGCTTACAGCACCTGGAATTCTCAAGTGGTCACCCTGGAATTCTCAAGTGGTACTGACCAGGCTCGACGTTGCTTAACTTCGGTCATCGTACGGTAAATCAGTTCTCCAATTAATAATTCCGAGTCATTATCCATTACAGCACCGACACATCCAAGCATACAGCACCTGGTATTCCCATGTTGTCACCCATATAGGTACTGACCAGGCTCGACGTTGCTTAACTTCGGTCATCGTACGGTAAATCAGCTCTCCAATTAATAATTCCAAGTCATTATCGATTACACCACCGACACATCCAAGCATACAGCACCTGGTATTCCCATGTAGTGACCCATCTAGGTACTGACCAGGCTCGACGTTGCTTAACTTCAGTCATCGCATGTGAACTGGTGTGGCCGTAAGCAACTTATACAGGCAAAATATTGTTACTCCAACACTAAAAAAAAAAAAACTATAAAATATATATAGACAAGAGGCAAAATAAAAATGTGTATAATAATAATAATAATAATAATAATTTATTATGCCAAAAATATGAAAAATATTGTGACTGTAACAAACAAAATGTCGGCCACAGTTCAAATAAATTTGTATAATTTCTCGTCAGAAAAATACAAAAATATCTTCTCGTCTTTTTTTTTGTCTAAGGCAACGGCAAATTCAATAAAAGCCATATTGTCCCGTTATTATTACTGGGGGTGGGGGGTATGTCATTTCTATTCTTATTGGTTTCTGTTACATTTTACAAGGTGAGTTAAGTCATACAAAACCTCATAATGACATCGTCTTTTGTTTGAAACACGGTAAACAAATAACCCACACGTCCGCATGTGCTTTTCACGCCGTAAAAGAAGATTTTATTGACTTCACTGTCTGAGCATTTGTCATTGCAGTGGACTCCAAAAGAAATAAATTAAAAAAAAAAAAAATGAAAAAATTGTCTAAATTTTTCCAGCACGTCGGCATGGCATTTTATTTTCAGACATTTTTCAATCAATAAACACCAAGAATTTATTTAGCATTCGATATCCTTTCTTTTCCAGAACTTTTTTTTTTCAAAATATGTTATTATTGTCAGTCTGTACACGTGTGATTTCCAGAATCTATCTATCTATCTCTGTTCGTATCCGATGGACAGATATGAAATTATTGAGATAGATAGATAGATAGATATGAACAGAATGGGATTCCACGCACCATACTATTTTTGCACATCTCAGTTTTAGCTAATTCCCCTTTGATAACTCAACTCTCCAAATTTTATGCTATCAGCTGAGGCCAGCGATTGAACTCACAACTCTTTGTGTCAAGATACATTTTGGATCACTCAATCAACGCTTTTATCCCCAAGGACATATGGCCCAGTGGATAAACGCTTTGGTAGATTGATTCAAAAACACTCCGAAATATATATATATATATATATATATATATATATATATATATATATATATATATATATATATATATATATATACTGCGTTTCAAATTATTAACAAGGTTACATTTCATTGTGTCCAAAATCTACCAATCGAAATTTTCATAGTATAATGTAGGTACTAACATGAGATCGCTGGCACATGAGCATAGCAGGATAATAACGACCTTAAACTTGATGAAAATAATTTTTTATCGTCTAAATGTTTATGCTATTATCAAGAGGAAAGATCAAAGTATTTTTTGATTATTTTTTTACATTTTTTAATAATTTCTAGCACGTCCAAAATTATCGTTAAAAATCTTTTATTTTTTTGATCAGCAAAATTGACAGAAAATCGATCGTCAGCCATTTTTTTAAACTTTTGTTTACAAAAGTGAAAGTCTCTGTTTTATAAAAAAATCAATTAAGATATATATATATATATATATATATATATATAATGAACAGACTGTGATAGTTAGATATGGAGAGGTAGTGATAGATAGATATAAAGATGCTAAGATATATATGAAAAGACTCAGATAGATAGATAGATAGATAGATAGGAGAGAGAGATATGAAAAGATTGATAGACAGATTGATAGATAGATACATAGATAGATATGAAAAGACTAAGGTAGATATATAGATATGAAAAGTCGGAGCTAGATAGATACATAAGACAGATATCAATAGATATGAATAAGATAACGAGAGATAGATATGAAAAGGTATGGATAGATAGATAGATATGATAAGACTGACATCGATAGGCATGAAAAGACTGAGATTGATAGATAGATAGATAGATGTAAAAAGACTGAGATAGATAGATAGATAGATAGATATGAGCAAACTGACATAGATATGATAGGACTGACATCGATATGAAAAGCCTGAGATAGATAAGAAAAGAATGAGATAGATAGATAGATAGATAGATATGATAAGACTGACATCGATAGGCATGAAAAGACTGAGATAGATAGATAGATAGATAGATGTAAAAAGACTGAGATAGATAGATAGATAGATAGATATGAGCAAACTGACATAGATATGATAAGACTGACATCGATAGGCATGAAAAGACTGAGATTGATAGATAGATAGATAGATGTAAAAAGACTGAGATAGATAGATAGATAGATAGATATGAGCAAACTGACATAGATATGATAAGACTGACATCGATAGGCATGAAAAGACTGAGATAGATAGATAGATAGATGTAAAAAGACTGAGATAGATAGATAGATAGATAGATAGATATGAGCAAACTGACATAGATATGATAAGACTGACATCGATAGGCATGAAAAGACTGAGATTGATAGATAGATAGATAGATGTAAAAAGACTGAGATAGATAGATAGATAGATATGAGCAAACTGACATAGATATGATAAGACTGACATCGATAGGCATGAAAAGACTGAGATTGATAGATAGATAGATAGATGTAAAAAGACTGAGATAGATAGATAGATAGATAGATATGAGCAAACTGACATAGATATGATAAGACTGACATCGATAGGCATGAAAAGACTGAGATTGATAGATAGATAGATAGATGTAAAAGACTGAGATAGATAGATAGATAGATAGATATGAGCAAACTGACATAGATATGATAAGACTGACATCGATAGGCATGAAAAGACTGAGATTGATAGATAGATAGATAGATGTAAAAAGACTGAGATAGATAGATAGATAGATAGATATGAGCAAACTGACATAGATATGATAAGACTGACATCGATAGGCATGAAAAGACTGAGATTGATAGATAGATAGATAGATGTAAAAAGACTGAGATAGATAGATAGATAGATAGATATGAGCAAACTGACATAGATATGATAGGACTGACATCGATATGAAAAGCCTGAGATAGATAAGAAAAGAATGAGATAGATAGATAGATAGATATGAACAGACTGACATAGATATGATTAGACTGACATCGATAGATATGAAAAGAATGAGACAGATAGATAGACAGACAGACAGACATGAACAGTCTGAAAAGCAATTTCTAAAGAAGCGATATATTTTTATTTTTAGTGGATACTCGTATTTTAGTAAACGCCACGTTTATTTATTTAACAGTATATTTATTTATTTTTGTCTACTGTCCTGAATATTCTAAAAAATGAATGAAAGAAAAATATGCACTTTCTGTCAAGACTCGAACCCGTGCCCCCATTGGTAGGAGAAACCGTCGTTAGATTTGACGTGATTTGACCTCTCAGCCACAAAAGACGTGGACAAGCGAAGTTGGTTAAATCGTGCCTTATAAACCCAAATCTTTCTCAAACGCATATTTGTCTAGTTTCATAACAAACAAAATAACAAAGTAATTTCTGAAGTAGTGATGTATTTTTTATTTATTAATCCGAAAGATTTTATTACGTAAGTGTTATTTTTAGTGGCTCACCATATTTTCGTGTATAGTAAAGCTTGGACTCCCAAATAAATGGGTTTTGCAACAAGATAATGACCCTAAACATACGGCTAAATCGATGAAAAAAAATGGCATTGATAAACCATACCACGAGTTGACCCAAGTCTTGTGAGTGAAAATGGGTAGACGGAACACTTGGAAGCCGTCAATGGCTGTGCTAGCACGAAGTTACAAGTCATCGTGGCCGAGGTTTTGAGGGTGCTTTCCTTGTTCAGATTGTTGATCACGTTAGATAACACGCCTCCCTCCCAGAAACTGTAAGTAAGGTCTTCTCAGCATAGTTGCAGTGTAAACCACAAGTGGACTCTGTGTATGGTGAACAAACACAAAAATGAGCCTGAGCAAGCGTCTGCAATAGGGATTAGCTAGCTGCCATAGTAGACGGGGTATCCTCGAATACGAGTGACCAGCCATTATATATATATATATATATATATATATATATATATATATATATATATATATATATATATATATATATTAAGAAATGGACAAAGTCCGACAATTTATTTTATTAAAGACATTTTTATGAAAAATTTCTATGAAAATTTCTCGGACATTCAGGCCGGTAAATGTTATTTAATACTGTTTATTATAAACAGAGCATTTACTTAAATACTTGTATCTATAAAAAAAAACGTTAAACATAAAAATGTCTTTAATAATATATATATATATATATATATATATATATATATATATATATATATATATATATATATGTGTGTGTGTGTGTATTGATTGATTGAGGAATCGCAGAACTGAGTTCGAATTCCAGTCGAATTCATTACATTTACTTACGTGCTAATACCCTTGGGAAAGGTATGAATCCTCTTCTTCTCCCTCCAGCTATGGGTAAAATAGCAGGACAGACAGGGTTCTATAGCCTTGGATGGCAACTGGTCTAGGGGAAGGAGAACTCAGAATTCAAAACCTGCGAAGGGTCGTTTAGGGACCTTGTGGCACGTAGTGCACGAGGTTTCTGTATTCGGCCCTTCAAAAAGTGTGGCTGGCCCTGCACGAGGACTTCACTACTATAATCAAATCTCATGTGCCGGTGTCGGGCTGTTGGTTTCCTGGGAACTGATCTGCTTGGCCCTCATAACGTCGAATGACGGGTGAGTCGATTATATATATATATATATATATATATATATATATAGTCGACTCGATGAAGGTTTCGTGCAGGACTATCCACACTTTTTGAAGGGACGAATACAGAGACCTGGTCCACTATACGCCACAAGGTCTCCAATATATATATATATATATATATATATATATATATATATATCAAGGCATTTTTATATTTATACATTCTTTTTATAGATACAAACATTTAAGTTTATTTATTAAACAGTTTATCGATTTATTGTCGTCTATCCAACCTGTATATTCGAAAAATAGGGAACATATTTTGCTTTAATAAGGTTACTCTTTTCCAATCTGTCTTATATGTTTACTAGATAGAGTGGACATAAGAATCAACACTGTATGGCGACTGTCTGTTTCTGTTAGATATCGGTTGAGGAAAGACCTTTGGCCTTACTTCCGCTGCATCAGTGTGTGAGCGGAAATCAGAAATGGTGCACAAACGGAAATGTATCCGGCGGCTAAAATAAACAGGGCGCACAGGTGTCCTGAGCTTAGAATAAACGGGACGAAAGGAAATGCGTGTTTGCCGGAAGAGGCGTGGCCATATGAAGTTGCGTAGACGACATACCAGAAGAAGGCACAGCCACATGAAATTGCGTAGGTGTCCAAATGTTATTTAACCGGTCCGTTTCTTGATCTGGACAGAGAGGCTGGCTAGAGGCTAACTGAACATTTGTCTCCATCAATTCTTGTGTGCGCAATCCAAACCTCTGTGATTCTCCCTCGTTCTTCCCATCCACTACAACTTAAACAATAAAGATATTTATATATTCTTATATACAAGTGTTCATTGTCTTATTTGAGCCCAGCAGCAATATGCTACATTTTCAAGCTTAAACACGATCTTCAAACCAAGTGTTGGGGCGCACCCACTTTCTAAATAGAAATGGACTGGTCCCTCTTATATAAGTCAGCTCTAGAGAGAGGACGGAAGAGCGTCAGCGACAGCAGTCCAGATAAGCTTACTCGTTACATACCGTTGGACTTTAGACTTTGGATATTGTTTCGTACTAACCAACCTTCGTTCTACTATAATCCCTCTATTGTTAAATGCTTTTACAAATATACCAGTGTTTTCCCCTACAACTGTGTTTGTCTTGATTCATACACCGACACGCGGGAAACTCACAACATCTCAACACCAAGTGCCAATACTCCTTTTCCGGGCGGTATTTAAGTCACTAAGGTATTATAAGAAGTGGTGAGAGGGAAGAGAACACAGCACCTTCAAAGCTTTTGTTTTGGTAGGGGATAATCCTGAAAGTCATTTACGGCTATGATCTCTTGATTGTTTATTTATGCTGGTTGGGTGGTTGGAGGACGTGTGTGTGCAAATAGGTTAATATTATTTATGGTCATTACGTCGTCATTCCTTATTTATAAAGAACTTATTAATTTATTATTTTTTCTTTTATATATTTCATTTTTTTTAGTTTTGTTTATATTTTTTTATGTATTTTACATGTTTTGTCATTATTAATAAATTCAAATTCTATAAGCTTTATACTTATATCCGCATTGTCTTTATCAATCTATCGTCACACACACACGTACGAACACATCCACCCCACACACACGCATATAAAAAGAAATTCAAAATATCATTTACTCACTTAGATTTATTAGGTATTAAATTACGTCAGTTAGTATCCTCCGTAATTTACCTACACTTTTCAGTTAACCTGATGAATATTTAGAAGCGTCTCTTGAATTAAAAAAAATTGAAAAACTAAAAAAATTCTTACTTTTGTTTATAAATACTTGTTACAAAATAAAATATTCAGAATTGCCTTGATAAAGTACATCTGAAGATTAAATGCGTCTGCTAAGATAAGTTTATCTTTTGTCTTTATATTGTCCGTTTACAGACATATTGTAGTTTTATCTGAAATTTGTACACACACACACACACACACGCATATATATATATATATATATATATATATATATATATATATATATATATATATAAATTATTCGAAAATTATAGCATAAACATTTTATAACATCACTACAAAAATAGTCATTTTGTTTCAGCACTTCTAGTATATAGAATAAAGCTTCATTTGATATGAAAAAATAATTTAAATGTAGATATTAAAGCTTATATTTGATATGAAAAATAATTTTAAATAATGTAAGTAATTCTATTACATTTACTTGTTTTTAAAAAGAAATATAGTCTATTAGTAATTAAGAGTAAAAACATTTTGAAATTGTAGTTTAATAAAACGTATTTTAACACAAACACACCTAAAAAAAACTTTGAGTATATAAGAAAAAAATGCCGAAAAACTTTTTGCCGTTAATAAAAAAAACCTAGACGACATGCATTTAACGGATATCAGAATTTGTTGAAAAATAAACCCTTACCCTCCCTAAACTCTTTTTCGAACGTAACTCAAAATTGATAAAACAATAGTTAATAAAAATGAACACGCTACAGTCCCTCTCTAAATGATTGGAATCCTCTGTATCCTTGGAAACAGGAAATTATGAATTTATATGTGCGTTTAAAACTCAGTAAATTTAAAAATAAGTTATTCCAATATTCGCTTGAAGATGAAATAGAACTAATGCTTTTAATTTAATTATATAATTAAATTTAAAGTTTTTAGCTTCCATTTTTGAAACATGGTTATTACTGCGTAGCGAAAAACCATATTTTAAATCAGTTAATTTATAATATTTATGCTTTGTAAATTTACATTGAGCACTGTTTTGCAAAAATAAAAAAAATAACAAGAACACCGGATTATATATCTTACTGTTCTTTACATATATATATATATATATATATATATTAATAAATATATACATATTATTCTTGACGAGTAGAACGACTTGGAGTTTTATGCACAACGTAATTTTCAGGTGGTGGGTAGAGACTGACCGTTACATAATTTAAATTTTAATAAAAATATCTGGTTGACATAATCATTCGGTGATTACGGTTTTTTTATTTTAAAAATATATATTGCATTTAAAACAGACGGGATTTTTATTTTATATTTAAAATAAACAGGGTTTAATGATATTTATTAAAAATAGACGGACCTAAAATTATCTACTAATTTTTATTTAAAGTTAGAGTTTATAATTTATATTAAAAATGATTTTCATTTTTTTATGATGTCAACGACTACTCGTTGCATCTTTTGCAATACCAACGAATACTCGTTGTCACTTTCGTAATGCTCGTTGTAGTAGAGACTTTGTAATCACAGATACAACTATAGTAACGCCGTTGAACTATACTGATGTCAGACGCCTTCGAATATCACTCACACTAAAAGTACTTGCTCGATAATACTAGCTCGAATAG